CCGCGCCTCTTCCTCCCCGCCCCCACCCTCTAAGCCCGTGTTGTCATCATTCTCCATAACCTCATCATTGCTCCCCTCCGCCACACCGACCAGACAATCTTCAATCAATCCAAAAAGCTTCTGCATGTCCCCACGTTCCCTCTCCAACGTATCCTGCAACATGGCCATCTGCTCCTCCGGCAGCCCCGGACGCCGCATCGCTTCCACAATCTGCCTGACGCGCTTCGTGACTTTCGTCATGGTAACGCTGATCATCTCGTAGGCGTACGCTTTGGCCAGGATGGTACCTCTGGCCACGTTGTCGATTAACGCCCATTCAACCACCGAGGCAGGCGATAGGATGGTGTAGTTGAGGAGCTTGTCGACGATGTTGACGCCCACGCCGGGCTGGTTGGTCCAATATCCCATGACGGAGGTGATGATCTGGCGGCGGGCGGCAGGTGAGGCGGGACCGAGGGATAAGAGGCGATCCTTGCAGCGCTCGATGCAGGATAAGACGTGGGACAGGGATTTGGAGCCCACATAGCAGATAGAGGTTACGTAGGCGTCTGTGGAGGCGAGGAGGGGGTCGAGGTTGTGTGCTGCGGCTTCTTGTTCGATCTCTTGCAGGAGAGGGGCGATCTCGGCGTCAGGGGCTTTGCGGCGGATGAGCTGCGCGATCTGAGTGCCTTGGGAGGAGAAGGGGGTCTTGTCGTCAGCATATTTGAAATCTGGGGTGTCTTTTGCCTTTGCTTCAGGGATGAGTGCTTGATATGGTTCTGGGAGAGTGCCCTTGATGCGTTGGGCGAAAGAGAGCCGAATTTCTTTGTCGAGAGCAGCACTCATGAAGGACTTCTTAGGATGCACATCAGGTAAATCAATGTCCCCAACCCTGTCGAGGTTAGTAGATGAATTTCCATCAAGGTAGAGATAACCAACCATTCCGTCCACTTCCACGTAAACCCAAAATTACTGAGATGGTGAGCAAACCAGTCAAGAAAGCGGTGTGCAAGTTCAAGATCAAGCTTCTCGACGCTACGGTATAAAAATCGAATAGCTCGACCAAGACTGGGAGCAATCGCTGCTGGCGCAATTTTGCACGCTTCCGTCAACACCGAATGATAATACACAAGCTTATGCTCGGGAGCTGGAAGCTGGAATAGCTGTGAGAATGCGGCATCGACAGCAACATCTTCGGGTTTCCATGTTGGGCGATCACCGGCCAGATCCCGGAGCTTGTCGAAAGGTGTCGCACGTCTAACAAAGGTGTTAGGTGCGAAGTAGCAGTCAACCTCGATCAGGAATTTGGCAGTGGCATTTCGATTGAAATCCAAACCATTGATGGTATCTGTCAGAGTGTCTCGGACCAGAAATGCGGTGATATCGGAAGCTGGCGGGACGGTTTCAATATCCTGATCATTGTAGACAGAGAAATAGACGTCTGGATAGATGGATCTCGGGCCTATGGCGAGCGTCTCTGGTACAATAATTGTCGGGAAAGGATGTTTCTGAGCCGATGCCAACGGATCTTCTTCATCAGAGCCTACAACGGATTTCCAGGGTCGTGGCAGACATGCGAGTTCCCAAGCCTGTTTTGCTTCTTCCTGAAGATGCTTTTGAAATAATCCTAACGCACTCTGCGTAGTGGACGGCTCATCGCCTGCTCCCGTGTAGAAGGGATCTACCAGGTTTTCCAGGATATGCGGCGTGGAAGCAATTATGTCGGTTTTGTCGAGCAGCTGTGTGGCATCATTTTCTAGCCCAGTCGCTGAGGATGCCATGGTGTAGGCAATGGTGTATAAAATGATCTTGACCAGTTCAAGACCGAGTGACTATCCTGTGCGTCAGCCAGTGGATCAATTTAAGATTAAGCCACTCACATCCTCTGAAGAAGCAGTCTGCAAGTCGACAGCTCTTGAGAAAAGGTCTTCCAACAAAGCGAAGACACCGTTGCCTTCAAACAATCCTTGAATACATGCCAGAAACCGCAAGAAAAGCTTGACTTCTCTCCAATTGCCAGCCTCGATATGTTTTTGGGTCGCATGCCCGATGCTTTTCAGGATCTCCGCCGCAAATTCCGGTTTCTGAGGATTGAGCACCAGGACAACCGCAGCAATGAAAGGAATCTTCAGAGGTTGTTCGATCGTCCTATCGTCCAAGTAAGTCAACGCCTTTCGCTAGGGCTCCAATACACGAACATTTGCACCACAAGGTGGAGAAACCCAGCTGTTATGTCGGTATCAAAGTAGTTGTCTGCTAAAGTCTTCGCAATGTTGCTAACATCTTCTTCCACCTTGCGCACTGGCTGTATCAAGAGTTAGTCAGCATGAGACTCTTGGGGCGCATTGTGACAATACCGATTCTGCGATAGAGAGGATTTGCTTTCGAAGTGTGACAGCTAGAGGCTCCTCGTATCTGCGGCGTTGAGGTCGGCGATCATACTCATCGTCATCTACTGATATGTCAGTCAAGCCAGGAGATGGGGCGCGTTCTGGCAACCTCTGTAGCGTCGCTTCCGGCTATTGAAGAAGCCTCTTCCACCTCGTGGTCGCCGCTCATAGTCGGCCATAGCTGGGATGAAGCTTCCACGAATGGGTTCACCACTAAGGGGTGTGGTTGCGTAAGTACTGGGGCAAGGTGGTAGAGGAGCGAACTTGATGACAGCCTTGAGGGTTGCGTGCCAACTTCGCAGTCTTCTCCAAAAATTGGCAATTGGCAACTGTCAGTATACTAGTCAGCGAAAGGGCGAGCGACCTCGGGGGGCATAGTCACGTGATACTATTCTAAATACCGCCCCGAGTGAAGCCAGCCTTCAAGTTCTACAAGTTCTACTTCTCACCGATAAAAGCTTCTTGCATACATCATTATGGAGTACGCTGCTAAATTCTATCTGCCAAACCAAAAGCAATGCAAGGAACCGTGAAGTAGGGTGAGAATAGCGAAATGCTCTAGTCCTTGCTCAGCAACAAATTGATCGCCATAAGCAGTAGTCCGGGCTATCTGAGCTGGTTGCTCCACAGTACCGGTCCGTGGCCGTGTCAGTTTCGCCTCTGGCCTGATCTCAAGTAATTCACTTCCACCCACAGACAGTCCCTGAGCGGGTGTTTCCATTCTCCATCCCCAACATGTAATGTGCTCCGTGCAGACGGTGCTTCGCAGTCATCTGTTTCACTTTTGCCTATATTTGTCCGCCGTTCACGGCCCCCAATAACGTAGATCTGCTTTTCCGAACACTCTTTCATGGCGAAAACCCAAGAGAGAGGTGTCTAAGCAAACCAAGACTATAGGAGAGAGCTATCAGAACCTTCCGTTCTCTCAAATCTTCTGACGCCGACTAGTGGATGATGCGAAAACCCATTTTCTTCAAGGTCACGATACTCCAAACAGCGTTCACTTCGTTACGCATTTAGCCAAGCTCGACTCAGTCAAGCCTCGCTATCATCTCGTCTTTATTCATGGGCGTGAAGTTATCAATGTCAAGACCTCGAGCAGCCAGTGCCGGGCGCGCATGTGGAGGGACTAGTTTGTGGTTGAGGAACGGGGCGATGGAAAGTTCTAAAATTTATCAGCAGAATGAAAGGTCGACGAAAGAAGTCCACCATACCATGCCTGGAGAAGTCGAACAAATTTGGCAGCTCCTTCGAGGCACTATTGGAATGACGAGAATCAGGAAGGCGGGTGTTGGGGTCACGAAGTTCGTCAAAGAACGGCTGACACATCGCTTCGATCGCAGACAGACGCTGAGTTGGGGTATATTCTAGGAGGGCGGAGATGAGATCAATAGCATCAGGACTTGCTTTGCGGAAGACCTTTGATTTGTCAGTGAAATGTGGCTTGTGAGGACAAGGCGCTTAGTATACCTTGTTGAATGGATGAGGTTTGATTTGGGGAAATTTATGCTCCATATAATTTGGATTCATGGTCCGGATTTGATCCCTTGTTGGAGTGCCCAGCACCTTGATGATCTCCACTAATTGATCGATGCCAGACTCTCCAGGGAACAGAGGCTGTCCAAGCATCAATTCTGCCATGACGCAACCGGTAGACCAAACATCTGAGCCACGTCAGTATGCCGAGGCCAGCGTCAGTGATACCATGACTTACCGATTTTGGTTGTGTAGTTCGTGGCTCCAAAAATGAGTTCTGGTGCACGGTAATACCGTGAACAGATGTACGACACGTTAGGTTCGTTTTCCACAAGGATCTTGGCACTTCCAAAGTCACACAGCTTGAGGACGCCGCTCCCGGGGTCGAGAAGCAGATTTTGAGGCTTGATGTCACGATGGCAGATGCCTTGGGAGTGAATGTAGGCCAGCGATCTAAAGAGTTGGTAGATGTAGAGCTTGACTTCAAGGATGGGCATTGTCGTTTTCATCTTGTTAAAGTATCTCGAGGCACGGTAGACTGTCTCGGGGACAAATTCTAAGACAAGGTTGAGATAGACTTCGTCTTTCTGGGGTTATAAATTTAGCAAAGCCTCTACAGATACGACGAGTAGACAACATACCCTTTCCCCGTTCGAGTAATAGAATGCTTTGAGTTCGACAATGTTTGGATGTCGAACAATTCGCATGATTTGCAGCTCGCGATTCTGATTGACGTCAACCAACAATTGAGCATGCTTTGTACAGGGCATACCTTGAACCTCTTGTCCTGCAACACTCTCTTGATGGCAGCATCTTCCCCGCTGGGTGACAATTTGGTCTGAAACACAACACCGAAGGAGCCATTACCGACTATCTTGCATTGAGTGTATTGCATGTCTTTGGTCTCGCCAGTCAAGCCATCCTGTACTCTCTCGCGAATAACTTCTGCTAGCATCATTCAGTTAGTGGAAATATCTCAAACGCCTCTGCCTTCAGCCGCTTACCTCCCATGCGCAGACTGCTAAAAACACCCGGCCGGTTTTGTGACATATTTTGATCTACCGCTCACTTGCGATCCACCTTGACGAGCTCTGCTGGAAGACCCAATGCGGCAACGTAAAGTGGCTGTTATGTCGGAGCAGACGCAGCAACCCGGAGCAGCTTAGCAGAGGGATCGTCTAAGATAGGTCCTTAGAGTCAAAAGACTATTGAATGAAGTTCGCAAGACGGAAATCGAGTTTGAGATCGCACGAAGAGTTGGTAGCCTTGGCAAGCGATGAGGGGTCGATCCAGCAAGACTGCGCATGCGATGGGGCTGCGGGTTCCTGGAAAGAACAAAAAATGGCCTGCAGGACGGATCGGGACCGGTGAACCGTATAATGTTTAGTATTTGTGGAGATAAGGATGCTCGGATGGTGGTGGCGGTGTTTACGTAGAAGTGCTAGAAGAATGACTTTCAGGGTAAGACCATCTGGGCGTCTGCGTGTCTGGGTGGTGTGCGTAAGTGTTTCGTGAGAGGAGAGATGGCACAGGAAACGATGTATGGCAGATGTAATCGCACACAGCTGCAAGAGGATAGAGCGGACCAGTAGGGTGGGTGACAGACTTAGTAGAAGTGCATGAAGCGGCAGAGGATATTAGAAGGATGAGCAATGTGTTGAGGGACTCTGAATCTAAGTTAGTAACTCGGTGTGGAAGATCTCATGACCTTGGAGGCAGTGGCAGCAGCGTGACCCAAAAAGAGCCCGGGGGGAAGTTCTAACTTAGGCTAAACTCAACCTTAACAACTCTAAATTAGCACTCCTTCCACACAGCTGTTCATTAGGAGATGTTTACTTGTGCTGAGTCTTTGGAGCTTCCCTTGCTCCAGCAGGGACGTTCCCATCAATCTAGTCGAGTTTAACTGCAACCATTGAACGTTTAGTAACTAATTATCCGTAACTCGTACCCAACACTACCGCCACGACCCACAGCCGCCGCTGCTTGGCCTCCGCTCCAGCCACTACCTTTCCTCAACTATGTAGCTTGCGATACAGTAACTGAGCGCTTCCTCAGTGCTGTTTTTCGATCATTTGCACATCATCTTTAAATACGTTCATCTAGAATGGCTCAGCCACTCCGCTGGCTTTGCCTACTTCTTTGCTATGGCGCACCATCAGATATAGTCACTACCATGATCATGCGAACTCGCATGCTGCCAATTAGGGGCCCTCCCCAGTTGAGACGGGAGATTTCCCCTGACAGCTCACAAGACGTTCATTTCATATGAACCCGCTAGCAATCGCAAGAGTGGGCCCGCAAGTGCTTGCAGAAGGTCCGTGTATATTTCCTTTGCGGCTCAAGATCCTATGCCTATCCAACAAATGTTTCCTACCCTACGTGTATCTTGATATTCGGGGGATCCGAGCGTCTTCGATTTGAAGTATCTAGCTGGAAGCGACATCATCTTCACTCGTCGGTGGTGGCTACATGTCTTCAACACATCCGCGCCATGATCATCGGTGAATCCTTATGTAGTAGGTGTAAAGGCGCGCCCAGGAATGCCACAACCATGACTACTACTGATTTCCCTGTCCCTGGCTTTCCCTGCATAAGTGCGTCCCTGTCCACTGGATCAAGAAAGGCCTTGGTCGGTTCGAACGTCGAACTCAGGTTGTCATGAATTGGGTCTCAAAGTACTTTGTAGGCAGAGCCTGGATCTTTCATACCCGTTCTGCATGGATATATCCGCCTTCTAAATGTCGCAGGTACGTGGTAGATGAGTTAGCCGCTGCGCAGGGAATGAAGTGGGGATGGCCACTGTCCCGGGCTCGATGAGGTAAGAACGCATTAACCGTGCACTTTTTGCACTAAGCTTTGCAGCTTAGTGCACCACAGCGCAACGAAAAATTGCAGCGCAACGATAAATTTTTTCTATTTCAACGTCTATTGCCCCCCCTCGTCGCTCAATTGGTACTCTAATTGATCCTCAGGGTTCATAGAGGCAATACGAAGACGAGCTATTGCAGAAATAGCCCTATAAAAGCGTACAAACTTGGGTCTTTCCCGTTTAGGGCATTGACGCCGAGAGTACTCCTTCTTCTCCCAACTCTCTTGCTCCCTTCGTGTGCGTAATCGAATTCGCTCCTTGGCCTTCTCAACAGTAATAATGCCCCCTTTTTGTACGGTACGACGCGTGGCTTTCGCACGTGCAGCGCGTGCTGCTTCGGCCAATTGAGTATGCTCTAAATCCGCCTCTGCTTGGGCCCCTGATTGTACACGCGCCATAGCACCCTTGATGAATTTGTGCACAAGTAACTCGCTCTTCGAATCAAACTCTATATCCGTCTGAATTTGCTCTGCAAATTGAGCAATTTCGTAGATCTTTTTCGGCGTTTTTGTAATATCTAATGACTCTGATTCAGAATCATTTTCAGAATCAAGAACTGACGGAGGAGGCAATTTGGCAATTACCATATTTGGATTATAGGGCACAAGACCAGTTTCTCGAAAAGCACTTAGAATTGTAGAATTCTTAAAAGTCTGCGTACGAATTTCGTGGATATTAGCCAAAAAGGCTGCTCGCGAAAATGAGTAATCGCTAAGCCGTACGGCACGGTCAATAGCCTCTGTATGATAGTGCTTAAGTGGTTGAAAGCATACTACATCAAGTGGCTGTAGAAGATGCGTAGAATAAGGAGGAAGGCAGAAGGGAATAATAGCATTATCCCAGCAATATTATATGAATTCGAACTCAAAATGAGTATTGAATCTGTCTAAAATTAGTAATTGATATACACTCTTTGTAATAGCTCTTGTGGATTTATTAAAATAACGAATCTACTCATTATGAATGCTGCTATTCAAATATCCAGTTTCACTGCATGTAATAACGTAATTTGGAGGTAATTCGTCAACAAATGTCGTTTCAGAGAGGGTTTGAAGTGCTATTACCAGAATTAGTGGAAGAAGAAATCCATTAGCGCCCATATACTCAATTGAAGTAAGAGATTCGCGATTATCTAGATCATTGATGAAGAAGGGTAATTAAGCATTTTTCTTTCGAATAATAACTTTGTGCGCTCGACTAACGCCTATTCGAAAGCCTGTTTCATCCATATTATAAATATCCTCTTTAAGGATACTATATTTCGTCTTGGTCTCACGAAATCGCTCAAAATGAGCTTGTATGTCCTCCTCATTGTGCGTAAGTTTTCGTAGAATAGAGAGAGGCTTCCTCTTCTTTATAATGTACTTCGGATGACGTTGTAGAAAGCGTGAAGACCAAATCTTACTAACCATAGGGGGGGCAGTAGTAGAATTGCTGTGGACACGTTCGAGGATAGAATTTGCAGCGCCTTAGAGCATTCGAGGGCGTGCGCTTACTCCTGATTCGTCTAATCGATCAAGATAGTGGCAAAGAGCAAGCTCTTGGTCCTCATTGAGTCTTTTATTCCTTCCCCTACATTGTATCTTATTTTGAACGCCCTTGAACCTTCTTCGAAGTCGTTGAGGAGGAACGTCGAATTCGCGCGCTGTTTGCGAGATATTAGGGTATTCGGCTTCGTTTAACACGTAAATAGCATTATCGATTCTATCCTCAATTTCTTGATAGGATTCAGCCATTTTTCGTTGAATGGGAGCGCGTTTTGTGTGGCCGTATGAATAATTGAAAAAATTTATCGTTGCGCTGCATTTTTCGTTGCGCTGTGGTGCACTAAGCTGCAAAGCTTAGTGCAAAAAGTGCACGGTTACTTCAAAAGCAGCACCATTGTGGAGCCACCAGTCGCATCTCCACCTGCCAGTGTGTCAATGCTCAAATTCCAATAGCTCCATACGCTTGGCAAGGGTCGTGCCGCTCGAAGGTCTCAACAATCTGTCCTGAAAGGGATATCAGGCGATGCAGCTTACGACGTATCTAAGGCCAAGGGTCTTCCTGCTGCGGACCCCGGAGGCGTATAAGAAAATGAGCCCCTTCGCAGGTTCGCTGGGAAATGTTCATCATCAATTGTATTGTTACATTGTCTTCTAGGTATTGAAGGAACGATCCGATGCAGCTCGCTTCGCCAGGCAAGCTGCTAACATTATCGTAGTCCATGTACACACGGCGCAATGAGGAATTGGGCAGGAATAATCGAACCTCTATGCAATAACACACTAGCCCAGCACCAAAACGTAGGCTGGTTGAAAGACGCTCTTCCCTCAAACGTGAAAATTACCCTGATGAGGACGTCCTTCTCCGGAGTGAAGAGCTAAGAACAGAATGGGGATCAAGGTGCCCGGGTAGTGTTGAGAGACGCTGAAGCTATCAAGGATGTCGGGATGCGTCAAAGGATTATCTAATGGCGTTTTGCGTGATGAGACTAGTAGGGAGGATTCGGAGCTTCAACTTTTTCAGAGGCTTCCATGAGCTCTTCTGGTGCCGCCTCAATGGACACCGCCAACCCAATTTTGGATGTTTGCTATAACCACATATAAATTTAGTAAAGAAATTCCAGCGTGCCGTCCCGTTGACAGAGCTGAGGTTGGCTTACCTTTACTTGATCAATTTCTCCAGCAAAAGTCATGGTGACGACCGGCGCCACTCGCTTCTCCAGATAGCAACCAACCTTGCCTGTGCTGTCGACCTGCGCACGAAACGTAGAGGCCCGGAAATCATACTTTGCACCAATGGTTGTAGTGCCTTCTCGACGGATACTGCTGAGCATACCACCGTTGCCTCCAAGGCCAGGCGCAAATTGTAATTGAGTATCCACACCAGCTTCGACTTGTGCCGTAAGTTGCCTCCAGTATGAGATATTCAAGATCCCTTGAGCCATGTATTGTGCGCTAGCAATCCAATCATCACCCTTGTATCGTCCACAGTATGATATGGCAGTTTCTGGACGCGCATTGAGCGCTTGTCGCTGCCACACACCCTCGGCTCCCAGAGAAACCCTTGGAGTAATGGTTTGGAGGTAATTACCGATGAAGATACCTGTTAAGGATCCATCCAGAATCGAGGGATTCATGGCTTTAATCGACGCAGAGAAATCATCCCCAGTATATTCACTGTCCAGTTGTACAAGTGCTTGTCCTTCTGATATCTGCGCTTGTGATTTCGAGATGAGCTTGGGTGACCAGCGGTAATTAGCGAAGCATTGTGCAGAGCCATCGTTTGAGAGGCCAGCTTGTAATAGAACCTGAGCACATATAGTCAGCCATCGAAGACGGCTCCCCAGCAGGGGAAACAGGATATTCTTACACTTGGAGTTCCGTACAGTGCCATCAAGTTGTAGGGTGACGGAACGTTCGGTCCCATCTGAAAACCATGCTGTATGCGAAATAGAGGAGCGAGACTGAAAACCTTTTGGAAGTCGGCACGAAGGCCTTGGAACATGAAATTGGTGCAAAGAACATCTTTCTGTATTTCTCGGGCTATGTTGTCCACAGTGCCAGGATTTGTGAGCTTCAGGGCTTTCCTCCGCTCCGAGAAGACTGCATAGCTGTCTGCGATCGTTGCTGCAATGGCATTGTTGGTGAGAAATGACAGTGATCCAGCTTTCGCTTCAACCATGACGAATGGAAGCGTGAAGAGCGGTAGTGGCTATGCAGACTAATACAAAGCTCCAGATGCTCGGAAAGGTGCGAGGTGTGAAGAAGGCTGATAGATACTGATGCGTATGCAAGCAGAGACAGGATGCTGATCCTTTTGTCAATCCAGCAGTAACCACAGACCAGTCGAAAAAATTACAGCCCCATTCGGACAAGGTCGCGACTAGATAGCGTACAACACCGCAACACCATGACACCACCGTCACCAACTCCACGGACTCCCTACATACGTGTACATAGAAGAAAAAGTATTTCACATATCCAACTGCTTCTGTGACCACGTTGAACGAAATTTGATTACTTGCAAACATCCGCGCTTGCTTTTCTCAAAGACTGAAGTCTTTTCCACAGCTGATCTTGCCTTCCCTGTTTTTAGAGTACAGCCGGATAACTGTATGAAGGGAATATCCTATTACTCCAATTTCTAGGTAAGAAACAGAAGACCCTTTGGTATTGGTGGCTCATCTGCGCATTTGTGAAATATCGTGCCTGGCAATATGGACACCCTATTAACAGCGGAGGTGGCTGCCAACTCTCCAAGGTTCAGGCGGAAGTCAAGCACTTTCGTGGATGCCATTCATGATTTACCAGAGAAAATGGAAATGGCACCCGCGCAGCTTTACAGCACCGAATCTGGCCGCCTGTTCCACTCTGGGAGGATCGCCATTGCGACGGTTGGACTGCCTGCTCGTGGCAAGACTCATGTGTCAGTGGCATTGGCTCGGTACCTACGTTGGCTTGGAGTTAAGACTCGGATATTTCATTTGGGAGACTACCGACGGGCAACGGTTGGACCAGGAAAAGATGTGCCAGACGACTACTTCTTTGTGAATGCATCAGCATCGTCCGTGTTACTACGACAGAAGATCCTGAAGAAGTGTCGTGAGGACATATATCATTTTCTCAACCATGAAAACGGCCAGATTGCAATCTATGATGCTGTCAATCCACTCTCGGCGGGTCGGAGATCCCTAGCAAAAGAGTTTGCAAAGCATGATATCGAAACGCTCTTTATCGAGTCGTCTTGCGATGATGAAAGAATCATTGAAGAGAATGTGCGAAGCGTTAAGATATCTTCTCCAGATTATGTTGGCTGGGATCCCGCTGACGCAGTCAAACATTATCTTGCAAGGATGTCTGCGAAGATTCCACATTTTGAGACCATGGAAGAACCTGACCTCAACTTCATCAAGGTAGAGCACCCCGCTGTTGAATGTCGACTTGCAAAAAACGCTCACTATAGCAGATGATTAACGCGGGGGAACGGCTGGTGGTGAACAATTGCAGTTTCGGCTATCTGTCCCATCGTATTGTATTTTATCTTCTGAACTTACATATTAAATCTAGGCATACTTATTTCGTGCGCGTAAGTCAATCTGAGAGGTATATTTCACGGCACACTGACGGGAACCAGGCAGGGACAACCCGTGAAGAGGATTCTTACAAGGCTGATGCGCACCTTTCGCCACAAGGAGAGGACTATGCTATGAAAATGAGTCAGACACTACTAAAACATCGTGAGGAGGAACGGGCAGCTCTCATAGAGAAAGGCGGTGCAGACACGCCGTTGAAGCCACTTACTATTTGGACTTCAACACGTCGCCGAACGGTGGAAACCGCCAGTTGGCTGAAGCTTCAAGGGTACAAAGTCCGGCAACGATCTCAGATGAGCCAGCTGAACCCGGGGGTGTGTGAGAAGATGTCTGAGACACGGATCAGATTAGAGTACCCAGATGAGATCAGAAAGCATGAAGCAGACCCTTATCATCATCGTTACCCAAGGGCCGAAGTATGTGCTGAGCATCTCGAACCTAAAGGTTGTTTGCTAACCATTGCAGTCATATCACGATGTTGCCGTCCGTCTTGAACCAATCATCCTTGAACTCGAGCGTGAACAGAATGATCTGCTCATCATTGCCCACGAGAGCGTGTTGAGAGTATTATATGGATACCTTATGGCTTGCAATTCAACTGACATACCATTCTTATCATTTCCGCGCAACGAGATTATCGAGGTCAGGCACCTGTGTGTTGTTTGTCTTTCGATGCTAACTGTGTTTGTAGATCATCCCTGCCAGCTACAACAACGAAGCAAAACGCATAAAAATCCCTGACTTGCCACCTGAGATGATTCCCGCATCCCCCGAGGATATCAAGATTCCTGTCCCGCCCAGTGGGATTATCACGCCCATGCCAGGAGGAATTGGCAGTCCGCAGATTGCAGCGACAATGCCAGAGACGGGATCTGGTACCAAGACGCCTGAGAACAATGACGAACTTGCGATCAGGATCCATGATGTCGTCTGAAAGAGGTTGTAGATTTGATGATGTGATAGGGTCCGCTGATACCGGCCCGTATTCATTGCAGCTGTACAGCATTCTCGATGGGTTTAGCCGGGTGCAACTGTTGGATGCTCTGTGGCGACAAGGAGACTTTCTGGCAATACCTACAATCTATTCCATGTACTCATCCGCCATGCAGTGTAGACACAAATAGAATGTTATCTCCATTGACAAGCTCATACTTCTCTTCGCCTTCAAGTTCCCAGTCTGCATCGTTGATGAGAACCAAGATCCCAGGTCGTCTGAAACTCAATCAACATCGATTCTCCGTTTCGGAAGATCATCATTACATGGTTCCATCAACAACGAAGAGTTCTTTTCTCGAATCGTTCATAACATTCTCACATAAGTAGTGAACAAGGACATCGATGTTCACTGGCAATCCACGAGCATCTTTTGTTGGGATCGAGATTTTATGCTTGCTTTTGTTGTTGAATAGCATTTCAAGGCCTCCTCTGTAGATGCAGTCAATCTTCCTGGCTCGCTGATGCCGTTGGCTGCACGTACGTGAACTCAACAACAATATCAATTGTCGGATTCTGTGTTTCTGTCATTGTGCTCGGTGAAACAAGGCAAGGTTGTTATGACTTGTAATAGAGTGTAGGTGGGTTTTGAGACGATCAGCGGAGACGGTTTTAACACCGCTGCCCTGGCCAACACGGGACCACCTTGTTGAAAGCAAAATGTGAATTTTCTATCCCGGAGTACGCTCTTTCGATAGAGGATATAGAATTGTGGGTAAGGTCAGCTTCGAAATATAAAATCTTGCTAAATCTGCATCACCGAGAAAAGTCCTCTTAACGGAATATTTTCTAGGAAACTTTTTCATGTCTTACAACTCCAATTAAATCAGCAAAGAACGAGCATCGATGATCCCACCAAGTTTCGATTACATTAGCGCTGGAGGCAATCGACACCCTTCAGCTGCAGACTGGGATCAATGGTCTGGTGTGCTTGCATTCGGAGCCGACCAGAATGTTGCCTTTTGGAACCCACTTGTATGCAGTGGACATTGAAGTTGCAGTTGCCACGGCGAACGGCTGACCACAGGACAGGGAGCCGATGGGAGAGGGATTTATGCAATCTTGGTGGGACATGAGGACCAAGTCAATGCTATCAAATTTGCTCAACAGATGTCGGATGAAACACGGAGACTACTGAGCGGATCTGCTGACGGTGAGCTTTGCGTATGGCAGAGTAATTCACATGGCAACCTGCCAGACCAATGGGTTCTGCTTTCGAAATTGAAAGCCCACAAAGGCGCCATCAATACTATTGCTACACTTCCTGGTTCGCAACTGTTCGCCACAGGAGGGTCAGACTCCACGATCAAAATCTGGAGTCTCCCTGCTGGAGACACGAGCGCCGCCCTAGTCCATACTATTGAGCTGAAACCAAGCTACATACCTCTCACAGTTGCAATTGGCGATCTTATGGTAGAGGATCAGACGGATTCGGTGTTTGTTGCCGTTGGCGGAACGAGACCATCGATTCAAGTTTACACAGTGTCGGGTTTGGCTGCCGGAAAAGCTACTCATTGTCTTCAAGTGACAATTAGCGGCCATGAAAGCTGGGTCACGTCGCTAGCCTTGAAAAGCATCAGAGAACATGGTCGAAGTCCAGACGAAGCTCTCTGGCTTGCATCTGCTAGCCAGGACAAATCAATTCGACTTTGGCTCATTTCACGCGACCGCCATGATAACCATGGTTGTCCACCGAAGGATGAACTCCTGCTGGAACAATCTCTTGCAGCCAAGGTGCACACTATTCGAGCAGCGTCTGTTACTCTTTCGATTACATTCGAGGCACTATTGTTGGGGCATGAAGACTGGATATATACAGCTTTCTGGAACCCTCAACCGGGCACCCGACAGCTTCTGACGGCATCAGCGGACAACTCTTTGATTGTGTGGGAGCCGGAGCCGTTATCAGGTATCTGGCTAAGTAGCACCCGTTTGGGAGAAATCAGCGGACAAAAAGGAGCCACGTCGGCAACCGGTAGTACTGGAGGCTTCTGGATAGGGTTGTGGTCACCAAATGCTGATGCAGTAGCTTGTCTAGGCAAAACTGGAAGTTGGAGGCTATGGAAACACGACACAAATCGCTCATACTGGGTCCAAAAGGCAGGCCTCAGCGGACATACGAAGATCGTGACCGATCTGTCATGGACCAGAAAAGGCGAATACCTGTTGTCGACTAGCTCTGATCAGACGACAAGGCTGCACGCTGAATGGCAATCCAGCGACTCAAGATCTTGGCACGAATTTGCACGGCCGCAAATACATGGCTATGATCTAAATTGCATACAAAGCTTGTCAACAACAGGGTTTGTGTCAGGGGCTGATGAAAAGCTGCTTCGTGTATTTAAGCAGCCCAAGAATGTTGCGAACATGCTGAAACGGCTTTGCGGGATTGCCTCATCCGAAGAGGCAGACGTCATGCCAGAGGCAGCGGACATGCCAGTGCTGGGTTTATCAAACAAAGCAACCCCACAGAATATTGGTGATGGGGCCGACTTTGATGTCGACGATAATGTTGCTGGTCCCACGCCTTCAGCAGTCTATGACTCCGAGGAGCCCCCTACCGAAGATCATCTCGCTCGGCACACATTATGGCCAGAGCAGGAGAAGCTATACGGCCATGGGCATGAGATATCTGCATTGGCAGCTAATCATCCCGGTTCGTTCATAGCTACAGCCTGTAAAGCAAGCTCCACAGAACATGCGGTCATTCGAATGTATGATACAAAGGATTGGCACGAGATCAGACCACCACTTGCGGCCCACTCTTTGACTATTACGGGGTTGGCATTTGAGATGAATGGCGACCAATTGCTGAGTGTTGGACGCGATCGACAATGGGCTGTCTTTGTTCCAACAACCCCCAGAGGTGGGCTCGCCACTAACGGGCACGCTTCGCCGAATTATGCTTTGTCAGCAGCGAATCCGAAAGGTCATACAAGGATGATTCTGGACGCAGCGTGGTGCGTGACAAGTACTTGGCCTGTCTTCGCTACAGCAGGTCGTGATAAGACTGTAAAGATCTGGGCATCTCTGGACGACAAGAACCAAGAGTTTACCTGCAGGACGAATATTGTACGAGACGCAGCTGTGACCGCCATAGATTTCTATAATAACTACGCCGAGAACCTTGCTTGTCTAGCCGTGGGAGAGGAAACTGGGCAACTCTCGTACCACGTCATTCCGGTCGATCCCTACAGAAGCAGTGATGGCAAGCCGATTGAGCCTCTTCGATCGGTGGAGATTGCAAAGAGACTGTGCCCTTCCAAGGCTATAATGCGCCTGGCATGGCGACCGTGCGACTTGGGCCGACTCGGGAATGGAGCACCAAGTCAGCTGGCAGTGGCCAGCGCGGACTCATCTCTGCGCATCCTCTCGATAGACTGGGAAGATCGGAGGGAACATGAACATACATATGAGGAACATATAGATGATTAAGAGGCGTTAAGGCCTTTCCCAAAATTGAAAATACACCAAGATTGCTCATGGTCTTGTTGAAGACCAGACGGGTATCGATACCAAAGCCAAACCATGACTCCTAGAATCACCAAGCTCAAGCTTGCTTCTCCAACCTCGTCTCCTGACCATAACCTCCCTTGCCATCCATACTTTCATACGTCTTGCCCTCACTCTGTCCATGTCTCGGACCGCGCTCCTCCAAATCCTCCTTCAACCAATGCAACACCAAATCGCCCAACTGACTATTCCCGCTCGACTTGATCTTGGCCAGATCCCACCTCTCCATACTCCCCCACTCCTTCACCCTTCCCAGATGCATATGCACCAGATGCGTCGGCCACTGCGCCAGATTATCCAAGATATGCGTGGCATAGACAATGGTGCAGGCGCGACCCTCGGTCTCGCGCTTCAGCCAGGCCAGAAAAGCGGAGCGGCTCAACAGATCCAGGTCGACGGTGATCTCGTCTAGCAGCAGCACGGTCCAGGGCCGCAGCAGGCCCATGGCGAGCTGGACGCGGCGCCGCTCGCCGTCGGAAACCGCGTGCATGCGCCAGCGCAGGTCGATGTCGAGGATGGCGACGAGCTCGTCCTTGCGGTCCGGGTAGTGCCGTCGCTGCGCACGATCGGGTTCAGCACCCATTCGAGCCCGAGGTAGGTCACCCCTTGGAGGCCTTCCTTGAAGGGGTCGACGCCGCCGATGGACACGGTCCCGGTGGGGGCGAGGCGCTTGCCGGAGAGCAGCCGGAGCAGCGTCGTCTTGCCCGCGCCGTTTGCTGGTTGATGAGACGGTAAGTTGCACATTAATCACATAGCTTATGTTTGCTGGAAAAGCGGACGCTCACCTCCAATTAAAAGGGTTCGGCTCCCGGGGGGTAAGTCGAGCACGACATCCTTCAGGCCGGATGAGCCGTCTGGGAAGGCGTAGCTGAGACCTTTGGTGTTGATTGAAGGAGCACTCGTGGGCTCTACACCATCACTGTCTGCAGACATGGTGTTTCACTTTGTCAACAAGTGACACTCGATTTCTTTGTAAAAAAATTTCTCGGCATCATGATATCATGATACTTATTACACCCCAACTCAGGTTGCAGGTGAATTCGTCGCCGAGTTTGGAGGGCCGTACTCGCCGCTTTAGGCGGCCCCCTTCCCGCAATGCCAACCATTCGCTGCGCTAACGACCGACAAAGAAAGGGAAAGGAAGGCCGAACGCGCCACTCCTGGAACTTATCCACCACTCTGTCGTAAAATGCACTCTTTTTCTAATTGGTCAAAGTAACCGCTAGCGTCTACTCAAAACGACATAAGATTTGAATGGACGGATATAACTTGATAGCGGCTGTTTAAGGTGCGCTTATAGCGCGGCAGCGGCTGCAGCAACCAATTAGAAAAAGAGTGCATTTTATGACAGAGTGGTGGATAATGTGGTCGTCAGCCCTAAAAGCTTCCAGCATCTGCCAGCGTACAGCAATGACCCTAGCAGTATTCCCTTACGCTGAGTATGGTTGGTGACCTCGACGGAAAGCTGTTTTGTTCCCGCTGTTGCTCGTTTTATTTACGGATCAAGAGCCACTTCAGCTATTTACACCCAGCTCAGTCGCGACCACTAGTATAATTTTCATCTTCGGAGCCCTTGTATGAAAGATATGTTAAGAAATAATATAAATCCAGTGTTTAACAACAGTCTAACCCTTAAAAATGCACTTTCTGAGAGTTTCGCCGTGCAATGGTTAAGAGTACCACACTATTTGCAGCTTGGCGAGCAGATTAAATATGAATTAGCGTGCTTCCATCATAGGTATTAAGACTGTACTCCGTAATATACTCACTATTCCGGTTTTAGCATGATTGTTGTTAGAAGTAGTAGCAAACAGCGTACGGAGGTGCCAATTCACTTGATTGAGTTACTCCTATCAAGAGGAGCATTTGTTCATACTAATAGCTATAGAAGCGCATTACTGTAACAGCTCAGAAACAGCATTTGGCGTTCAATTCGTATAGCAATGCTCACTGCCATAAATAACAGGGCGTAACAGTTACAAGAGCGTTTCGTGCGTTTTGCATGCGGGCACCCTTGTACCATCATGCTAATACGTAACAGATACTGTCGAACGTTGCTGACTAATCAGGAGAGTAGAATCTGAATAGCAAGTTGTTCTATCTAACTGACCGCGCAAGGAGAGCCTATTTATACATACCAAATTGCTATATCAAACTGCCAATCCATGCGAAATAGCGCGAAACGTCAATACCAAAAATACATGTTAATTCGAGGCGAAACGCGTAACAAATCTGTGATAAAACGCATTCAAAACGTCGCACAATACGCCACCGTTTGATAACCAGCAAATTCATCGAAGACGCGCAGAATCCAGTAGCGTTTGTTGCAGCGCTATATATCACGTGACATCCGGTCCACAGATACGTATCATATACGCAGGGATTCTGACAATTGTGGCGTACTATCGTGGGCACCGTCGCGAACATTACATCCTCTGCGAGCCTTCGATTGACTATTTAGATTCGCCTTGAGGTGCATGAAACGTGCTCGACAGATATATGCATAGTATTCACATCGTCTGAATCGATATGCCGAGCAAAGAAGCTATTCAAAAACTGATTGCAGCGCGCGGGGCAGGTATCCGGGCAGCATCCGAGAAGCGGGATGTGGATGATTTGATGTCGTGGTACTCGAAAGACGCTGTTTTCACGAACGTCTGTAAGTTTTGAATTAACTAGCCGGGCCGACTGTGGGACTTCCAAGCTCATTTGGAAAACAATAACAGTCAACAACTACACTCTCGAAGGCATCGATGCGGTGCGCGGCATGTATGCACACGTCTACAAAGCTATCCCGTCGTTCAAAATCAGCGACGGAGGGGCTACGGGGTTCACGCCGGAATTTGTGGCTGCCGAGATGACATGTGAGGGCACCGCCGCGGTGGATCTTCCGCAAATGGGATGGAAGGCGGGCGAGACCATGATCATGACGGGTGTGTCGTTGTTTTGGTTTCGATGGGAGGGAGAAGGCGACGAGTGGGACGGTAGTCTCTCCGATGAAGACGTGCATGGCTGGAAGATCATTCGAGAGCGCGCGTACTTTCAGTTCACCAAGCAGGCTTCGGAATAGACCCATAAAAAAGGGCTTTCATGACGTTTTCCCGACAAGAGTCATCCATTGGACTTGACTGGGTACTTATTAGCTGTTATACTCGTTCTCTACTTTGGTGCAGGCGCAAGCTACATTGCACCGCCGAGATGCTTAGTTCCCTGTCACGCATGTCCATCTTACACGCTTATAAGACAAAGTCCTATTTGGAGAACTGAATTGATGAGGAACAATCTCACATAGTTCGCATTCGCAATATAGGGCTTCTCGCTATTCCCCTGGATGTCCTTGCCGAGCGATCGGTGATCCCAGGTATTTGGTAGGATTGCGTGCCGAGAGCCGGGAGCGTGGAGGGATCGTGCAGCAAGGCAGCGCGGGCGGAGCTTCAGCGCAAAGGCCTAGACCAGATTAAGTTGGGAGGCCGTGTGACCATCCCTAAAGGGGCAGGCCGCCTAAACCGAAGGCGGAATTCCGGGTAACGACTTTACATAAGTACACCCCCGCGCGAAAGTATCTGACCAAAACGCGTCATTTTTGAACACGCGTTCTTTTACACCCTTTTTCAAACAACTACCATGGCTCAACGCAAGGCTCTGGCGCCTCTTGAAATTAACAGGAGCTATGGCAAGGAGTTATCTCCATACCAACGAGGCCAAATTTCAGCGTACAAAGCTATAGGGTTGTCAAATCAAAAGATTAGTCAAAATTTGCAATGCAGCAAAGCTACTGTTTTCAACACCCTTGTTCAAAATCCACTGCGCAACCAAGGCAAAAGCTTGCCTCGTTCAGGACGCCCCCAGACCTTAAATAGGGTTCAAAAACGCAACATTCTACGTTTTATTCGTATCAATCCGAAGGCTACTTATCAAGAAATCAAGTCCGAAATTAGTATTAATGTCCATCAAGCAACTATTTATCGAATCCTCAAAGACGAAAGCATTACCAATTGGCTAGCCAAAAAAAGACCTCTATTGACTCCTTAATTGGCTACTAAACGACTTGCATAGTGTCTAAAACAACGAAATTGGACGTGGGATGAGTGGAGTAAGATCATATTCAGTGATGAATGTTCGCTTAAAAGAGGCAGTGGAGCGCGTCGAACATGGGCCTTTCGTACACCACAACAACGTTGGAATTCTGATATGATTGATACATATAAGAAGGGCAAAGATATCAGTGTTATGATATGGGGTGCAATTTATGGAGAAGGTCGTTCTGATATCGTGTTATTAAAGCGTGATCCTGATTCAGAGAAGTCAGGATACACTGCCAACTCTTATCTGGCAGTGCTTCGTGAGCAGATGCCTCGAATATACGAACCAGGTCGCAAATTCATGCAAGATAATGCCCGAATCCATACTGCGAAGAAGATTATTAATTGGCTTCAAGAGGAGGGCATAGAATTGATCGAATGGCCGGCCTATAGTCCTGATCTCAACCCAATTGAACAC